CACATGGACTCGCTGATCCAGATGGTGGAAGCCCTGGAGTCCATGGAGCCGGAGCTGGAGCTGCCGGAGCTGGGGCGGTCCCTGGGGGGGTGCAGCACCCCGGGGTGCCGGGCGGTGCTGGGGGAGCCCCCCCCCATCCCACCGGCCCCCCCGGCCCCTCCCTCTGTTTTGGCTGCTTTCATCCAGTTTTAGGTGCTTTCCCCCACCTGTTTTAGCTGCTTTCACCCCATTTTAGGTGTTTCTCCCCCTGTTTTAGGTGCTTCTCCCCATTGTTTCAGGTGCTTTCAGCCTATTTTAGGTGCCTTCGCTGTGTTTTGGGTGCAATCACCCTTTTCCTGGGTGCTAGCGCCCTCCTCTGGGTGCTTTCTCCCTCTGTTTTGGCTGCTTTCACCCAGTTTGGGGTGCTTTTTCCCCCTGTTTTGGGTGCTTTCACCCTATTTTGGGTGCTTTTCATCCCTTTTTGGCTATTTCCCCCTCTTGTTTTGGGAGCTTTCACCCAGTTTCGGCTGCTTTCATCCAGTTTGAAATGATTTTCTTCCTGTTTTGGCTGCTTGCACCCTATTTTGTGTGCTTTTCACCCCACTTTGGCTGCTTCCCTCCCATGTTTTGGGTGCTTTCCCCCTCTGTTTTGCCGCTTTCATCCAATTTGGGATGCTTTTCTCCCTGTTTTGTCTGCTTTCACCCAGTTTGGGGTGCTTTTCCCCCCGGCCACCTCCTCCACCCCGATCCCCTGGCACCCGAGCGGGGGGCGGTGCTGGCCCCCGACGGCTCCACCGTGGCCCTGGGGCCCCTCTTGGCCGGCATCGAGGTTGGGCTCAAGAAGGCCAAGGGGTGGCCCTTCCTGGCCACGGAGCCACCCCTGGACCCGCTCTACGCCGTCACCATCAGCGAGGCCTTGGGGATGTCCTTCCTCCTGGCTCGTGGTGGCCATGGCCACCGAGCTACCCTGGGACCCGCCGGCTGTTGGGACGACGTGGAGGACCCCCAAAACTACACCCTCCTGGGCCCCCCGTCACCTGTCCCCGACACCCTCGCCAACGGGGCCATGGATGGGGTGCTGTTGGGTGCCCAGGTGGCCCAAGAACCCATCCCGTTGGCCAACCTCCTGCGGGGCTACTACGGGACAGGCAACGGCACGGAGAAGGGGCGACCACCCAGCAGTTACCGGCGACGAGATTTCGGGGTGCTGACGGGGCCGGGCAAGTTGGAGGAGGAGGTGGTGGCCATGCTGAAGGTGCTGCGGGAGCTGCCACCCACCCAGGAGCTCCTGGAGGACGTGGAGCCAGAGGAGTTGGTGGCCATCGCTGGCCAAGCGGCGCGGGACTTCACGGAGGTCTACGTGGGTAGGGAGGTGGCACCGGGTGGAGATGTCACATCTGTGTGTCCTCCCCCTTCCCCAAAACGTTGGGTGGGTGGGGTGGGGTCCCCTGTGTCACTGAGGGCTTGGTCACATCTGACCTGGCGTGGTGGGACACCAGGGATGGACACTGGTGTGTCTCCTGGGTGGCCACCAGAGTCCCCAGTTAGTGGTCCCTGGACAGCCACCACTGTGTCCCCAGATGGTGATCCCTTGATGGACACCCTGGATAGACATTGGTGTGTCCCCATGATGGCCACCTGTAGGTCCCTTGGGTCAACACCACCATGCCCCATGGATGGACACTGGTTTGTCTCCTGGATGGCCACCACTATGTCCCCAGATGTCCACCTGATGTCCCCAGATGGATGTCCCTTGATGGACACCACCACATCCCCTGGGTGGACATTGGTGCATCCCCATGATGGACATCTGCAGGTCCCTCAGGTGGACACCATTGTGTCCCCTGGATGGACACCATTGTCCTCATGAAGGACACCACTGTGCCCCATAGATGGACACTGGTGTGTCTCCAGATGGTGGTCCCCGGCTGGCCACCACCATGTCCCCTGGATAGTGGGTCCCTGGGCACTGCTTTGTCCCCTGGATGGCCATCACCATGTCCCCTGGATGGACACTGGTGTGTCCGCTTGACACTGGTCACAGCCATGTCCCCAACCAAGGGACACCCCGAGCAGATGCTCGATGTCCCCTAGATGAGGGGACCCCAGGAGGACCCTTCCACGTCCCAGGCCAAGAGGTTCCCAAGTTGGGCAGAGGCTCCATTGTCCCCAAGACCCCAAGGGGCCCCAAGTTGGGCAGATGTTCCATTGTCCCCAAGACCCCAAGGGGCCCCAACCTGGGCAGATGCCCCATGTCTCCAAGACCCCAAGGGGACTCTTCCACGTCCCAGGCCAAGAGGTTCCCAAGTTGGGCAGAGGCTCCATTGTCCCCAAGACCCCAAGGGGACCCAAGTTGGGCAGATGCCCCATGTCTCCAAGACCCCAAGGGGACCCTTCCACATCCCAGGCCAAGTGGTTCCCAAGTTGGGCAGAGGCTCCATGTCCCCAAGACCCCAAGGAGACAACTCCACGTCCCCAGTTGCCCGTGGGACCGGGCCAAGTCCCCTCCTTCCACCGCTCGCCTTCCCTCGCAGAGTGCCCGGCCATCGTCCCCCGCTGCATGTGGGGTGCCCGTCCCTACCGGGGCACCCCCAAACCCTTGACCCTCCCCTTGGGTTCCGTCTTCATCCACCACACCTTCGTGCCCAGCGTCCCGTGCCGCACCTTCGCCGCCTGCGCCCATGCCATGCGCTCCATGCAACGCTTCCACCAGGACACCCGTGGGTGGGATGACATCGGCTACAGGTGAGACCATCCTCACCGTGGTCCCCGGTCACCCATCTCCAGGGTGGCCCAGGTTGACCCATGGGTTCTTGCAGCTTCGTGGTGGGGTCGGATGGGTACCTGTACCAAGGCCGTGGTTGGGACTGGGTGGGTGCCCACACCAAAGGCTACAACAGCAGAGGTTACGGCGTGAGCTACGTAGGAGACTTCTCAACCACCTTGCCCGACCCCGACGCCATCGCCCTGGTGAGGGACAGGTTCCTGGCCTGCGCCGTGCGCACCGGCCGGCTCCAACACAACTACACCCTACGTGGCCACCGGCAGATGGGTAACACCGACTGCCCGGGCAACTCCCTCTTCCAGGAGATTGAGACCTGGCACGGTTTTAAGGTGAGGACCAAGCTCTGGGACATCTCCAGGGGGTTGGAGGTTTGGGAACGTCTCCAGGCATTGGAAGTTTGGAGGTCTGATGGCATCTCCAGGGGGTTGGATGGTTGGTGGCATCTCCAAGGGATGGAAGTTTGGGGACATCTCCAAGGGGTTGGAGGACTGGGGCACCTCCGGAGGTTGGATGGTTGGTGGCATTTCTAGGGGATGGAGGTCTGGGAGCATCTCCAGGGGGTTGGAGGTTTGGTGGCATCTCCAAGGGATTGGATGTTTGGTGGCACCTGTAGAGGGTTGGAGGTCTGGTGGCATCTCCAAGGGATTGGAGGACTAGGGACACCTCCAGGGGGTTGGAGGTTTGGTGGCATCTCCAAGGGATTGGATGTTTGGTGGCACCTGTAGAGGGTTGGAGGTCTGGTGGCATCTCCAAGGGATTGGAGGACTAGGGACACCTCCAGGGGGTTGGAGGTTTGGTGGCATCTCCAGGGGATGGAGGTTTGGTGGCCCATTGGGGTGTCTGGGTGGTCCAGCTTTGCTGGGAGGATGGGGGTTTGGTGGGGGTGGATGCTGGGAGTGATGCTGGGACTCAGCGTGGTTTCTTCTCTTCTCTGCAGTGAGGACCATCCCCTTGGGGCCTGGTCTGGATGGGTGCGGGCGAGGTTGGATCATGGTCTGGATGGATCCTGGCCCAATGGGTGATGGTCTGGGTGGAGCTTGGACCAATAGATGTTGGCCCCAATGGCCACTAGCCTGGGTCGACCCTAGTCCAGGTGGCCACCAGTCTGATGGCCACCAGCCCAGATGGACCCTGGTCCAGGTGGCCACCAGCCTGGATGAATCTTGGTCCAGGTGGCCACCAGTCTGATGGCCACCAGCCCAGATGGACCCTGGTCCAGGTGGCCACCAGCCTGGATGAATCTTGGTCCAGGTGGCCACCAGTCTGATGGCCACCAGCCCAGATGGACCCTGGTCCAGGTGGCCACCAGCCCAACAGATGCCCTGATGGACACTGGCCCAGCTGTACCCCAGCCTTGAAGGCTACCAGCCTGGACAGATCGTGGCCCAGGTGGCCACCAACCCAGAGGGATCCTGTACTGGCCCAACTGGCCCAGGAGACCATCCCCGTAGCCACAATAAAGTCAGTGCCAGGACATCAGCTGTGGGTGGTCCCTGGAGAGCGAGAGGGGAAACTGAGGCATGGGGTGGGGGTTGGCCATGGGGTCAGGGACCCCCGAGAAGACCTCCACCCCCCCAAGATGTCCCCCCGGCCCCCCCAGAGGTGCCCAGGCTGCACCCCACACCGTAGCACCCACCCCCAGCCATTCCCCAGCACCCGTTCACTCTGAAGCCTAATGATGCCTTTTAGAGCTGGATGCAGGAAACCACCCACCACGGTAGCCAGACCCCGTCATGGGGTGGCCCAGCGTGGTCCACCCATCCCCCCACCACCACCACCTCTTCCTTCTCGGCGTGGCCGAGTCAGGAGCGTAGAAAAAAACACACCATCATCATCCTCCTCATCCATCATCATCCTCGTCGGGGCAGAGGCGGAGGGAGGTGAAGGGTGTGACTGAAACTCCCTCCTGGGTCACATGGGGAAGCCACCACAGGAACTGGGGTGGCCTAGGGCCGGGTGCCGGAGCGGGGCAGAGAACAGCCG